GACGTCAAGATGATGCCTCGAGTTACAAATATTTTTCCAACATTTCCCAAAAACATGTTATTATTTTTTATAATTTTTGATATTTCTTTAAAAAGTTGAACTATTTGAATTCAGAAAAATAAAAACTAGATTATATTAATCACTAAAATTGATGATCCGAACAGGATAATTTGGACCTCTTCTTTCACGGTTCTCTTTATCATATGTGCGCAGCAGTAATGCAAAACTTGTGCGTGTCATTTTATTTTTGGGCTCCTTTTCATGCATGCAGAAGATCATACATGTTTTGTGGTTTTCTTCTGCGCGGTGATTTTCTGGACCTTGAAGATGGGGAAACATCACTTAGATAACTTTGTTGGGGGCCGATTTTTTAATTTTTCATTAGCAGGAGACACATAATAGATATTTTCCCATTGAAGTTCAAGGAAACACGTGATCTAACGTACGGTATATAGGGACCAGGTCCAAACAGTATCAATTTACGCCCGCATCTCGGGGCACCACTGCAATGTATTCTGTATATGTATAATACAGCACAGAACCGCATAAGTGAAAGCCGATTTAACACATTCACTCGCGAGTCAAATTTTCGTCCATCTTCGATGACGTATCGTATAGTTTTTAAATTTTTTTCGTCGCTCATCTATAACCACATCACAGAGCGAGTGCCAGCCGCGTCACGATTCCCGGAGTCCTGACAATCAACTCCCTGGTGAAGACGGACGAGCCCAAGTTCAGCACGGACTTCACGTGGACCATCCACGACGGGAAGGGCACTGCACCCTTGTCCAAGTTCGACGTTGCGGGAAAGGTGTATGTCAAGAACGTGATCGAAGCCCGAATGACCGCCAAAAACGAGAAGCCGCGAACGTCCTTCACGGGTTCCCTGCTGTTCCCGAAGCTCAAGGATCGACTGATCCAGGCCTCGGCCACCGTCACCGAAGACTCCGACACCCACACCAGCATCAACGGGGAACTCGCCTGGGATGCCAAGAACAATCCGAATCACAAGATCGTCGTCGACTCGGACATCGGCAGACCGAGCAAGCGGGAAATTGAGACCAAGTCAGTATACGATCACGCAGAGACTTATTGCGGAATTTTATTTTAGAAATGTTTTTTCTACGAGTGAGCATCCTCGCATAACAAATACAATAATATCCAAATACAATAGCAAGAATTCAGCGAACGAAAAAAAAAACGCGGATGGGTTAACTCAGATAACAAACTTGTCTTAAAGAAAAATATTGTTGTGCCCACTCTACGAGTATGATTGATAATACCAAGGTTTCAAGTGAAACTTGAGATTTTTTCCAAAATGAAGGATATTCAGGAAGAACGGTTGCACATGTTCTTAAATTTTCTCGTCTTCTCAATTTTTAAAATTTAGAAAGTTGAGAGAAAGAAGTTTCAAGGATAGCTCTATTTTATGCTCATGTTAGTCGAATCCCGGATTTTTCCACTGAAAATTTAGGTTTTCCTTGATCTTACATAGATGTCGCCTTAATCTGGTTTTAGGTAATTTTTCTGAAGTCGACAAATGATGTCCGGTATGAGCTTAGGTCGAATGAATTCAGCCTAAATTATCTCCTGCATCATGAGATTAACTATATATTATCGATTAATGCGTCGGTATATCATTAAACGCATGTGGTTCATACAATTGTATTTTTCACAATTGGATCAGTCAAAGAATAGAGAATGATAATAACCCATCGAATTTAGGTCGGCCTTATATACTTGAAGAATCTTTTGTTTGGCATGCTACGATGAAATGAAAGGACATATGTTGGGAAAACCTAGGAGGAATTATGCGCGGTTTTCTCTGCTTATTCAAGCATATAATTGAGCGGATTTCTGAGCTGCTTATGTAATGAGGTGCTGTACTCTACATAAGATTAGATTTTATGATGAGGTCGCAGATGGCGAGTGTCTACATATGAGACTCATTCAACGGGGACAAGATTCCAATTAATTCCGAGTTTCCAACGCAAGAAAATTAAATAATGAACCCCATCCCAATTATGTGTCTGAGTTTCATCAGGGGAAAACTTGAAGGTGAACATGCAGTCAACCCCCACACAATGGACTTGCGACAGACTTGTCTGTTGTGTGAGAACTCTGTTATGCTAATTCAATTATTTAAAATTCTTAAAATTTTCATTTCTACCATTATAATAGAAGTCTGTTGTGCAGATTTAGTCCATTGCATTGGAGGGAGAACTGCTTTCAGGGGCTGTCTGTTGTGCAAAAATCCATTTTGCAGGAGGTCCGTTGTGTAGGGTCAACTGTATTCCAGCTTTCTATGAGATGCCATGTGGTTTGATGCAGTGTTCCCCAACCTTTTTGGGCCTGGGGACAGGCAAATTTCCACAAAATTTTTGCGGACTGGCAAAGTTTGAGAACATTTTTGCAGACTCAGAAAAGATTTTTCTGAAAGACTTTACGGTGCTGAATATTTAGAACATTTCTTATTTTTTTCACGAATTATGAAAATAACCAATGAGGCAGCTCTATAGTGGAATTTTTTCAAAAATTAGAATGGTGGAATTGAAAAAAAGAGGTTTCTCTAAATGAAAAACTAGAATAATTCGTTTCAGCAAGTGAAAAGTTGTCTACAGAATTATTAGGAGAAAAGCTGACTTTTATTTTTCATCAAATAATATCAACTGCCATTTTTCTGTAATTCCATTTGAAGATAAACCAACTTCATTGCTACTTTCATTAAATTTATTATGCTGAAGAAAATTTGTACACCCGGTCGTTTTTGGAAGACGACTCTGGTCGGGGACGGGAACCCGGTACCCAAACTCCTTGTGACCAAGTAACGAACCGCAAGTCGACGCATTTTATTATGCTTAGCGTTAATTTTGTTACGGTAATGCTTCCATTTTTTTCCACCCCCCACAAAGAACTCGACTTGTATACAAAGGAGATCGGTACAATGTGGACGTGAAAGGAGCCTTGGGCAAGAAAATCGACAATGGGAGAACAGCTTTCGAGGCCGAAATAACCCTGCCTTCGGCCTTTAGGCACGACAACAGCTGACGAAAGCTACACCTTTGAGTGAGCTGGTGCATAGCGTTGCTGTAAAGGAAGTTGGAGTTCTGGGACCTTTCACTAATGATGTTCACTCGTCTAAGGAAAGTAGTATGCGCAACAAATATTTTATTGGATTTGAAGCGCAGTTTTCCCTCTCGAAAATCGGACCGAAATTTTTTTTTAGCTTCCACCCTATGTTAACTATAACATACAGTATTTTATTACTCATAGTCTTAAACTGCATATACTGTAGTTTTTTGGCATCTGAAATTCTTAGCTAAAGTGCGTGATGATTTCTGACAAATGCAAACTTTTGAATGTACTGCGAACAGTTGAATCTATTTAGGTCAAACCTCAAAACTCAAAAGGGATCAAAAAAAAATAAAATCGAATAAACTTTTGTTCAGCGAAGAATGAAGAAGTACAGAAAATTGTAATAGATGATATTCTAGAGTACTAGACCTTAAATTGTATTTCGGATGAGTTAACAATTGGATGACATTGAATATGCAAGGGGTCATTTCCCAATATTATTCTTTATTCTTTTTAAAACACTTGAAGTTAAAATTTCATTACTTTTCTTTTCCCCTGTGTCAGTAAAATAAGGTAAAAAAGACCTCCAGAAAATTCTTGAGAATGCTTCCGAGTTCAATAGCTCCGAGTTGACGTCATTTTAGTTCGGGTGTTCAGTTAAATTATTTAGGGACTGAGGTAAAGGTTAAGTCCTGGCTTATTTATTATCTCGGTTCTAAAGAAACGAATTGTTTTTGAGGTGATTAAACTCTGATAAACGAAACGAACGCAGAATCAACGGATTTAAAAAAAATTCAGAAATAAATGTTAATGTGCTGAATATGCTTGATAAGTTTTTCCGCGAAATGTTGTTGTTCATTCTGATTCGCTATAAATATTGACGCGTCTTGTTAATCGATGTTTTCCCTCGTGCGATAAAAAAATACAAGTTTCTTGGATGCTGCTAAAAATTCAGCATGCAGCGTATATAAAAATGTAATGAGGCTACTCAAGCTCGAAATTGGTATATAAAAATAAATGGTATAAATTGTATAAAAAAATAAACATCGTCAACAAGATTTCAAAGCTGTCGCAAAACCTCTTTTGAAGATTGAAAGCTGGAGAGAAATTCTTCGTCGTGACCAAATTACCGAAAGGAACTTACTAGATTCCCGACTTTAGTTCTGACTGCACGTCGTCTTTTTAATGCTGCTGCACTGTCCGGAAAACGCGTACGTTTAGCCGGAGCTGTGAGGAGTCAAGCCTCCAAACTCAGAGGTCGAAATCGACAGCACGAAAAAAGGGGATGGCCGACGAGTCGCTCTTTCTGTAAGTGCGAAAATTGTTTTCTAATCGGCTGCTAAAAAAAAAGCGGCTGTACCTGAATCACATTTTTCGAATTTAAAAAAAGCAATTCTTTCAAGGCCTCATTTCTGGCGTAGGAAGGTTTGACAGCGTTTCCAGAATAAATTTTGGCAACACCCTGTATTTTGAGACGAGAATTCCTTTCATTCCCGGTGACCTAACTCTGAAGTACTAAGGAATTTTTTCCCTGAATGAAATTAAACTATTAGAAAAATAACACCACAAAATAATTATGATTTTTAACAACTTCGTGAACAGGCAAGAAAAGTTAACAAAGATGCAGGACTAAATTAAAATTTTAATTGTACATCATTATAAAAGCTTCGCCGAAACGTTGCTTATTGTGCAAAAAAGTTGATTCAACTGTTGTCTGCCGCAAACTCTCAGAATAAAGCATTATTAAATCAATAGTTTTTTGCATGAAACGGAGAGGATGTTCAAATCGCATGAATACACAATCAACGTGTAAATATTCAGGCCTATACTGTACACCTTTAATTTCTTCAAAATGATTTTTATTTCTCATAAAAGAAGAAGAACGAAATCTGCATTCCGAACTTTTATTTTCCTTCTTCCACGAAATGCATCATCAGTTGAAAGCCACGCCGTCGAATAAACAAGACTCTTTGGAAGTGCAAACTTTGCTGGCACTCGTGCCCGACTCTAGTGCAGAAGCTGGTCTCAAAATCACCTACGCCAATTCCGTGTACGTGGATGCGGATGCGAAGCTCGACACGGATCTCAATTCTGCACAAAAGGACGCTCATCTCCTGCTCAACTTCAAGTCGGATGAACTGGATGTCAGCAGCGTGGCCCTCGAATCCAAGTTGGCGGCCCGATTCGAAAGATGGGACGATTCCAAGGTTATTAATCCATCTGTACGATTGACAGATATATACAGTGAGACCCCCCACATGCGGACGCCTCAACCTGCGGACCATTCAACATAGGGACGCTTATTTTCCCAGAAAAAAGTAATAAAAATGGCCCAACATGAGGACACTGACTCAACATAGGGACATTTTGTGATAAAATTGCAAATACACTTCTGGCCTAATTACAAGAAACAGATATTTCCAACCNCACATCTGGCCTAATGACAAGAAACAGATATTTCCAACCCTGAAATTGATGTAAGAAAAGTTATTGGGCATTTCTCTCACCAAATTACCATCCATTTAGCCATTTAAAATAACCTCCAGCATAGAGGGACTTCTACTTTTTTTTCACTCGAATGTTATTTTTGTAGATGCCAAAATTTCAGTGTACAGTACAGATATACACTATTCAATGCTCGAAATGTTCTTATTGAGTTGAAAATGTATTCACTAATTCAAATTCAAATGGCAAACAATTTTTTCAGGGAATTCTGAAGAATATTTATTCCACAAACCACCAATTAAAAATTATATAATGTAAGTCTATGGGAAAACAAGATTTGACTTAAGGACATATCAACTTGGGGACACTCCTGATGCACCAATTACGACTGCATCTCGGGGTTTCACTATATATATATATATATATATATATACATGAATGAATGAAAAGAAAGCTTCATTTTCCGCTTTTCAGTGTTCACAAGGTTCAATCAACATTCCCACATCCAAACCCCCTCCCCACATAACCCAAATCCATTCAAAGGCATTCAATCACTTCAGAATGGGAATCAGAGAAAAGAATTGTATATGTATACCAAAATAAAAGAATATAAATTCCACAATGTACAACTGCACAAGTGATGTGTATGTGTACTTCCACTTCTTTCCCTGGCATTGAAAACAAAATATTGGTAACAAGAATACCAGCATAAGCCAGAATTATAGAAATTTCAGCAGCTGCTGAACCCAATTTGAAGCACAAGGTCTTCAGTCTATTCCCAGATAAGGTTTAGTTGAATGAACTATTTAGAAGGAATCAGTGATGAGAAATCATGCATAAAACCAACAGTTGATCTTATATCAAGAGGACCGAGTGATTTACGGGGCTTAAATACCGTGTATTAAAAAATGCCTAATGAAAATTAATCTACCTATTTCTGATCGAATACTGATGAAAAGAATTTTATGCTAGATATTGTACCAACGGTTTTTTTTTCGTTGGTTCATTTTTTCAGGTCTCTCACCTAGTTTCCTTGGACGTTGGAGGAAACAACAAATATCGTGTTGAAAGCAACTTGGAAGGCAACAAACAGCTCATCAAGGTTTCCATTGATGCGAACCATGACAAAAGCAAACTTGGAAGCCTGAATGTCAATATCGACACTTCCACCAAAAACGGTGAATATTTTGTCCGCTGCTCTTTGGAAAATCTGTGCTGATTACAATTTTTTTTTCAAAAATAATCCTGCAGTGCATCTTGGAAAAATCGAGGCAGACGTTTTCGGGAACCAAATAAACGCGGATTTTGAGCATCACGACACGAAAGAGTTGAAAAAGTTGAGCTACGGAACTCGAATCAACTTGGAAATGCTCGGATTCGACGAAACAAATCACAACCTTCTCATTGAGGTGAGATATTAATTCATTAGCCTATATTTCAGTTGAAATATGGGTAATTCCTCTTCGATGTTCTTTCTTCAAGAAAAAATAATAGAATAATCCCAGGAAATTATTTTAAATATTTGCTGTCAAAAACTTGAATTAGAACATCGAAAATAAAGGCACAGGAAATCTAAAATGATGGATGAAAGAAAAAATTCCCTGCACGAAATTAAATTGAATTAAGATTTCATTGATTTTCTGTTGAATTTATGGGATGGGTCTGTTGATTATAGACGAATGGCATATATTTACCCAAGTTTCAATGTTTGTTTCTTTAGTTTGAGAACTTTTCGTTTTCGTTTGTTTCTTTAAGAAAATGCTGTATTGGGAAAATAAATTTTAAGTGCTTGTCATTCAAGATGAAGTGACATTTTTATTTGAAGAATTATACAGAATACGGCTGGGATTATTATTTTCGCAAAATTTCCGGCATAAATAAATCATGAAAATATCAGCATGAATCCCGTTTCATTTGAACATCATTGCAAAACTTTTCACTGCTGCACTTCGTGCTGAAGGGAGTGAAACAAATCCCGAAAAGATTTCTTAGTCTTCAAAATGAGATAAGATACAGTTTCGTAGGATTGAAGAAAACGTATGAATGGTTTCGAATTTCAGATAAAAATTATGATTTCATCTTCAAAATGAGTTCATCTGTACGAATCTGTCAAATAGTTTCGACGGGAACATGTTCGTGATTTTTGAATTCTGGCTGAAATTCTGATTTTTTTTCTTCCAGAAACGAGGAGACTTGCTGAGACTGGAAACAGATGCGACGTTCGATGGTGAACAATTGTTCGACTTTGACAATGAAATCATGATTGGCAAAAAGGAGCCATACTTGAAGAGCAGTTTGCAACGTGCCGGAGAATTTCCCATCACCGTCAATCTCGCCGTGAGTCGTCATTTAAAAAAAAAACCGTACACAGATGCTTTAAAATCATTTTTTTTAATTTTTCACATTTCAATTTCTTGGAAACATGCTACATATATGGAATATAGCTGAAAGTATTCAATTTTTGTTTTTCAGTGGAAGGAAAAGGGTGCCAATACTTACGGCCTGGATGGAAAATTGAGGTGGAACGAAGCTGATGGTCATGCCAGTTTCATTGGCGAAATGACTTACGTCGCTGTTCCTTTGGTGAGTTATCAAGAAAAAAGAGCGCGAATGCAAATTTTAACAATTTCTCGAATCATGAGAATTTGATTGTTTGGAAAGACTCACGCCTGATCGTACCAGGGAAGAGCGAAATACGTGACACTAAGCTGCAAGACTTGCTTTAACAAGTGAAAAAAATGTTTGAGTCAGCAGCAGGGAACTGACTGATTATATTTGCGTTTAGTTTTATGCATGCTTTAACCAGAATAGCGAAGCACATTCCTTTTGTATGATCATCCAGTTCAGAAGACAAAATTGATATGTGCATCATCAAATTTCTACAATCAATTTATATGCGTTTTAATTTGCATGCGGAAATTATCAGCAATTGATCGTTCGAAAAAATATTCAACACCCTATTTTGAATTTTCTTTTCAGTCTTTGGAATTCAAGGCTGAAATGGATAGTCCTCATTTCGAAATAGACAAGTGGAGGATCGTCGGAAAGACAAAACTCGATGAGGGAAACAAGCGTCAGATTCGTTTCAAAGCCGAAAGCAAAAAAGAAAAGGACGCCTACGGATTCAGGTATGAATTCTAAACATTTTTTTTTCTGTCAGTCAAATTCTTCGTGGAATTTTCACGAGAATGTGGGTCCATCAATTTTTAAAATGCTGTACACTTTATGGTTATATATGCGGGAAGATGCATTTTTTCAGATCATATAGTATCATAAATGTAAAAGGAAAAATCTTGAATGGACTGGTTTTTAGGCAAGCCAGTCTTTTTATAATTATCCAGCCTCAGGATTTATATATATTTTTAAAAATCTTGTATCTAATTATATCAAGAAAAGCTAACAACACAATACTCAACCCACATAGTATTCTTTTTTTTTTGATATGAATGCTGCATAGTTTTCGAGTCGAATTATATAAAAAAAATTGAAAGGCCAGGTGTACAAAAACCTTAAGTTTTGGACAAGTTAAGCCCAGTACGTTAACTTTTCCAATGTTTGAAATTTATTTTTGTTAGACTCAGAATGCACTTTCCACTCTTTTGCTAACTACCTTTACGCGAGCAGTTTAACGCTCGTGTATTACGGTCACAGCTCAAGAGCCACGGCTTTCTGACCTAGTTTGTTCTACACCATTCAAAAGTTATGTTTCCAAAAATGAAAACAACTTCAGTTAATCAAACGAAAATTCCAATTCACGAGACAAATGTTCGCCAAACGAATTTCCCATCAATGATGGTAACGCAGATTTAGTCATACGATTAAATTCGTCTACAATTGCTGTGTCTTAAAGAATTTTCATAAATTTGTTATGCCTGCATAAATAAATTTCGCCGCTTTTTTTCGAACAATAGAAATACCAGAATGTACACTCTCTTTATGGATTTCAAGCAGGACAGCATTCTTCAAAAATTTCCAGGTTCACAAAATCATATAAGAAAGCGAATTTGGTGCTGCGATGAAAAATCGAAGCCTGATGGCATACCTCGTATATGCGGACCTAAAATAATACATCAGCATCAAAATTTTCCCCACTTTTGGATGAATCTTGCTGAGGAAATTCTGGAATGCATTTCGAAATTTTTTCGGCCGACAGTAGTTTTAGTTTTGGTTGAGGTTGTTACGGTACCAGGGCTCTCTTAAGCTTGAGGCAGCGTCGTTTAGGTTGCTAAAGTACCTTCACTTTATGCCAGACTGTCGCTGGTGCTTTTTGACGGTGTACACCTTGGTTCTCACAGTCCTCGACAAAGAACCTGAATGTGAGCATATTCTAAAATCTTGAATGTCTTCTGAATTGACTTTTTAAATACAATTTTGTGTTTTTTTTTCGTATCATTTGAAGCTGGTGTGGATGCCAAAGTCACGTTGCTTTTCGAGGGACGCACGAAGCGTCAGACGACTTCCTACGAAACGATCGCGTCACTGTCGAATCAAAATGAAGCTATTCATGCTCAGTTGCTGTCGATTCAAATCGACGGAAACACGCCGAAGAAGATCGGCTTCGAAGTAGACCATGCCAAAGGAAACCTGAGTAAGAAAAAGTCGTCAAATATTCACAAATTATCAATCGGAAATGGCTTTGAGTAGGTCTGCTCCCAAGAACTGCCAAAAATGGATCAAAAAGATTGAATAGTAAATTATCGGAAATATTTCAAGCCAAAAAATTAAGAAGATCATATAGCAAACATCTGATGATGTTCAATAAATTTCTTTCTCTAGTTCATTTTTATAAGTTTGAATCAGAGAGTTTCCTTAAAACAATAATTATTTATCTCAACTTCTTCCGTTCATGAGGGGCTGGAAATTATTTTACAAATGTATGAACTCAGAGAAACTTCACAATGACAGATTTAAATTTTCCTGGACTGAAACTGTTCCATGGGAGATTTTTTAGAGACCCCTTTGATTTATAAAAGATTTTATCTTTTTGGAGGTCATTTATTTTCTTCTGCTTCATCAATGACTTGCTGAATATTCAGGGAATTCTCTGATTTCAATGCCAGAAGGATGGAAAAATGCTGTCCCTCCAGAATGCTTTCGACAATCAAATATTTTATGATTTTACAGCGGGTTCCTTGTACATTTTGGAGCGTGTCATTCATGTTGAAGAAACCTGGGAGAAAACGGAAGTCAATGGAAGATGCTCGTACTCATTAAAGGAGAAGCTCTGGTTGGATCATTCTCGCGAACCTGATAAAATCTTACAGGCAGATTTCATTCTTAGAGAAGAAGACGTGCAGAAAGGAAGTCAATATACCGGGTCATTCACTGTCTCTCATCCGACTTTGTCCAAGGTCAGTATTGCTCCAAGAAAAGAAAAACCACAATGCAGAAATTTTCTACTAGTTTCAGGATCTTTTGTTGTCGTATCAAATCTAAGAAACTTTTGTGGGATATCGATAGATTCTTCTCAACTTCTAACTCTAAATTGTTTAGTTTGATATCATAATCAAGAATTCGGAGAAAAAATTGAGCTTCTGGAGGAGAGCCGAAATCTGCGACGATATTTGTGATCTCGAAACATATGAAGAAATACAGTATTCAACAAACTCAACGTATTTATAAATTTTGAAATATTTCCAGCGATGGATAATTATTGCTGTTGCATGGATCAGAGAAACAAAATGGTCGACTGATTTGTTTCAAGAAAGTTTGCATCGCATTGTATCAAAGCTTTATTATTGCACGCACGTTTTTTTTCAAGATTATTTGATGTTAAAAGTTGCTCAGTAACATTATCAAGAATGCGAAGCAAAAATTAATCTCAGCGCTTATTATTCGTGATACAGTTTTTGAAGCTTCTGTCGTAGCTTTTAAAGGTTATGCTTTTTTTTTTTAATCGTGCGTATAATTCACAAAAGAAGCGCGAAGATTTGACGAGACAGAAAACTTAGATTCCAGACTGAAGCAGCACTTTTTTTTTGGCCCCCAGGACTTGCAAATTTCTTCTGAATTGATCATCCGAGGAGAAAAATACCCTCTGAAGGCAAGTGTCTCATTTGATGTCTACGGAGACTTGCCTCCATTGGACATTTATTTGGAAATGACTGACGAGCATTCCAATGACGACTGGGAGTCTATTGCTACTCTCGCCGTCGTCAGAAAGGTAAATAGTCTGTTCCACATATATTCCCTATATAATAAAACGCATAAATACCAGGGTGCAAAATTTGAAATTTGTGCTTTTCCTCTGTTATCTGTTAGAGCGATTTGGACTTCAAAGTGGTGCATCATTGTACATCGCAAGGCGATTTGTACTCGACTGGATTACGGATTGAAGGTGGCAAACAGGCGAAGCCATTGTCGTTGAAATTGGATTACGATCGAGGAACACCGAAAGTGAATTTCTTGGTGAGCATTTTGCAACTCGCAAGTATGTGAATTTTTCAGTGATAATGAAGAGTTGAAAATGATCACTGTATATAAGCAAACATGTGGATTTTCCGAAGCTTCGCTCATCCATTTATTTTTTATTTTTTTTAGAACAGAGCTCAGTTCTTATTCAAAATTCAAGATTTTCTCTTATCTTATTACGGAGGGGAAACTGCAGATAAACCCCAACCGAATAATAATAAGACAGTTGATCAAACGAAAACGTTTGCGTTTTGGGAATGATTTAAGAATTAAAAAAAAAAATCTCGACTGCCATGTTAGGAAAAGTGAGCGTTGTTCCATTTTTCGCGGAAAGGCTAATTTCTGCAGTGGAAAAAAAATGTTGGAACAAAAATCCCATGCTGTGCGGTTGAACTTCCACTGAGACAATTCGATTGATATTTTCCCCGTTTTAATTTTAATTTTATTTTATCCAGGCCAAAGCATCGAGCAAGTCATTCGAGATCGTGGGCGTTAAGGAAATTACCCGCCGGCGTCGGGATGCAGGTGACGAGAAACCCGACGAAGCCAAATGGGTTTGGACCCTGAGGCAAACGGACGCAGTTCCGGTCGTAGCCGAGGTCATATACTCCACTGACATTTCAATGCCAGCATTGTCTGTTCAAGTCTATGATTCAGGTACGTTACTATTGTATACAAATAAAGATAAACTGCTGACAAATATACCGATATGTTCTTCTTTGGTTGCGACTTATGCTCGCAAAAAATCAATCAGCGTGCTAAAAAATAATAAAAAAAGCCAGAGACAAAAATAAGATATGTTATGATGCCTTTCGACCTTTTTTTTTTACTGGTGCTTTGGATGAACGATAAGTTCGACCGCGTCGTTATTCTGACACCATGCTGTATTCCTACTGTATATTAGTGTTTGAAAATTCATGAATACTTTTTTTTAGCTTCATGGAAACATTTTCACATAGAATTAAATTTTTTTTTATTATTCGAGAGAGTTCAATGTTTGAAATCCAAAGATAATCTTTTTCTTCTGCTCAGTATATATCGTGCTCTGTTCATGAGCAGGGGTNTTCAAGTCTATGATTCAGGTACGTTACTATTGTATACAAATAAAGATAAACTGCTGACAAATATACCGATATGTTCTTCTTTGGTTGCGACTTATGCTCGCAAAAAATCAATCAGCGTGCTAAAAAATAATAAAAAAAGCCAGAGACAAAAATAAGATATGTTATGATGCCTTTCGACCTTTTTTTTTTACTGGTGCTTTGGATGAACGATAAGTTCGACCGCGTCGTTATTCTGACACCATGCTGTATTCCTACTGTATATTAGTGTTTGAAAATTCATGAATACTTTTTTTTAGCTTCATGGAAACATTTTCACATAGAATTAAATTTTTTTTTATTATTCGAGAGAGTTCAATGTTTGAAATCCAAAGATAATCTTTTTCTTCTGCTCAGTATATATCGTGCTCTGTTCATGAGCAGGGGTTTTATAATATACTGTGAACCTAAAGTCAATCATAAAAATTAAAAATGAGTTTTAAAATTTGAATTTATAGCATCTCACATGTTAAAGGACTTGGAGCACATCACAAATTTAAGGTTCAACTTATTTACTATGGATGCCAGGTCACTCACATGTTATCCAGGTGGTTCTCTTCAAAACCTGGCCATCATTGACAAAAATCCGTACAGAATTTTTAAATTTGGCAATGAAAGTATATCATGGGTAAGCACAGCCTTGTTTGATCACATGCAAATCACATGGTTCAATGTTCTTCTGCTCTATTCTTATTTGTTTTCATATATAACTGCTCGTGCAATTTTGAAATTATTATTGTGAAGCATTTGAAATCGTTTTATGCAGATACCCCAGGAAAGCGACTCAGATGGCGTGTTGGATATGTTGACACAAGGACACTGAATGCTCGTTTCGACTCTGTGGAAAATGGAATTGAGACTTTGTATATTACAAGAACGATCGCATTGAAACCCAACAGCATCCTGACGCACAAGTTGTCTTGGCGAGAAAAGAATTTCCGGGGACTCTGGGTAAGTCTATTACAGTACTTTTGAAATAAAGTCTAACATCATATAAGATTTAGGTTTTTGCGCTAGTATGTGAGAATTTCCGGGATTTTTACTGATGCAAAATTTGAGTTTGCGAGAAAGCGCAGAAATCTTCCTGGGAAGACCTGCTGGGAACATTTTGGGAAATTCCAAAAATTTTAGAATTTATATTCAATTACCGAAGTTTAGCATCAACTCAGCAAATGTCACAGGCATAATCACACACACGCAATAATTGACACATATGAATTGATTTGTTGATTAGCAATATTTTAAAGCCTTGATTCGATTCATTTCAGGCAGTTGAATTATGATTTTACTTTATCTTTTTGGGTTTCTATATTGATATTTTAGGTGTGATCAGACTTGTTTTTCGTGAAGGTTATAGATAAACATTTTAATTTCTTACTGCTGGTCAGTTAGGGCAAGTTCTTCACGGGAAAAAAATGAGCAAAGTCGTTTGCTGAAAGAAACTTTTTGCTAAAGTTATGTTTTTATGATGTGTTAGCAATCTTTTTTTTCTCACGAAATCAAAGATGTCAGTGGTGGAGAGACCTGACCATTTTTAAAAATTTTTTTGTGGAAAGTTCTCATTCAAGAGTTTCTTGTGACCATGTCATAAGCACTTCGGCATGCCATTTGAAAGTGAATTGAACAAGCTTTCATTTGGTGGTTTTTTTGAAAATCATTTTCACAGCTTGATTTGCTGCCGAGGTATTTAAAGTCAAGAATCGGTTCACCTTTTTTAATTTTTTTTGCGGCCCTCCCTGTATTCATAGGAGTCGACTAAGCGAAGGATTAAAATGTCCGGGGAGAATTTCGTCAACGGACTTCACGCTGTGCAAGAAGTGGTGACGGATTGGAGGTCCACTTACGAGGCCGCCGGTCGCCTCGAGCCAGCTATTGACCCATTGCGAGAACGGGTCAACGAAGAAATCGAGGAATTCATCGAAGAAGTGGAACTGGATCCCACTGTGATGCTCGTACAAAGCTTTGCCGGGTATGTACCGTGTTATGATTATTATTATTCTGAATGGCAAAATCAGTGAAATGCATGATTTGGTATTGATGTATGTATGCCCAGCATTTGAACCCCTCTAAGTCGAATTTCTATGGACCAGGAAAAAAATTCAAGTTTGGGAGGTTTTGACTGAGGGATGTATTGATTTTTCGAGGTTTTGAGTAAAGGAAACAAATATTTTTTGCTGCAAGGAAAATGGGAAATTGTAGATGAGGATATTCTGGGCCTAAACTTGCTTCTTAATGAGTTTACAGCATGCTGAACGTAGAGGCATTTGTTCAATTAGTCTTTCACTTAATTTCAAAATGCACAAAATAATTTGTTTTGTTGATTTTATCGTTCATATTTCAAGGAAATTATGACGAAAAGGCCTCAGAAAATTCGAATTACAGAGGTTTGAGAGGAAAAATACTTCAAGTTAGGGAGGTTTTTGAAGAATTTTTTCTATGGGAATCCAGGCAGGGACTTGAAAAAAAATTAGAGTTAGGGAGGTATTCGACTTAGCGAGGTTCAACTGTATAACAATAAAGGAATGTAATATAAAAATTAATTTTACCCGTTGACTGAATAATGCTGGTCGAAACCTTTTCGTGTCTGACGCGTAAATGAGACACAGCCTGGATGAGATAAACATAGTTTTTGTATTTTCTGGAAAAAAATGTTTCGTTTCTTATTGAATGTGGATGATGAGGAAAGATTTTTTTTTCGAGTCCAGCGGAAATTACACGGAAATTTTCTTTCATGACAGGGTCGATGATGTGAGGGCTTCGATCGAGTCCGTGGTAGAATTCTATGGCGAGAGACGAAAGGAGCTGAAGGCGAAATTGGGCGAATTGCTGCTGGAGTTGGAGAAGAACTTGGGGCCGGAAGTGGGAATCACGTCAGCAGACATCAATAACTGGGTCGACCGCACCGGAGATGACCTCGAAAAGGTCGTCAAGGAGATTCGAGACACTGTCAGTGACTTCATCGACGAACTTGAGAAAGGAAAGGACAACCTGAGCATCGACAGCATCATCAATTTCTTGGACAGTGAGCATCGAAAACATTTTATATTTTATTAATACATTCTTTTTGAAACCTAACAATCCTGATCAAACCCTTACTATCTGGTTAACGTATCTTTTGTTCAAGATAACAGGTTATTTTTTTCAGTGCAAATTTCCTCGAGCGCAAGGAAATTTTTATTTTTTTTTGGTGGAAGACTTTGCACCATTCATATCTCTACAGTATTTCCTGGAAAACCGCCTCGTATACCGCAAACTTAGCTTGAAAATCAGGGTGCCTGTTATATTCGATGAATTTTTAATTCGCTGCTGGTGAAAAATAGCATAATTGCTTCTGAAAGCAAAAATTTTGAATGAAAATTGTTTGAATCCTCATCAAATTTTCCATTTCTGCGGTGAAAAAAGAACTGAATTCCCTCTAGCGCACGATTTTTTTGCGGAAAAAATTCTATATTTTCCCATTTATACTTTATATTCACTAGATAACGCACTTCGTTAGCCTGAACTTTTTTTTTTGTTTATCAGGGTGCGATTTTTTGCTTTTGGAAGTGCGTTATCCGAGCTACACAATATTTTCAATGAAAACTGTTTTGAAACCAATCGAACGAGTCCGTACCAAACTTTAAATTTATTCTGTAATGACGCAAAAAAATAGATTCCCGATTTCTATTGGAGGTGTTAAAATAGCTGATAATTAAGGCATGATTAGAACAAACGATTGATTTCAAATTTGAAGACATTGAATAGCAAATAAAGCTCATCATCGCAGACGAATTTAAAAAAAATCTTTTTTCAGGAATAATCACTGTAATTTATATAGGGCGACGTATATACGAAATAAGCAAGAGCATCTTTGTAATATATGTCAGTAACTCCGTCGTGTCGGTTCCTATTCATGTCAAATTTAATTTCAAAACTGGAGAAATGATTCCCGGCTGAACTAGCGAAGAATTATTTTCTGTGTATCATGTTCTTGGTTCATTTCTTTGTGAATTTTAGAATTGCTGGACAATGTGAAATCTCTGTTCGACTCGGTTTTCGATTTCGTCACGGAATTCAAGAAGGAATACAAGGTCGATGAGGTGAGGACTTTTTATGACCTGTCAATTTTTAATGTTTCAATTCATTTGTGTTTCACCCCAGTTCTTGGACTCCGTAGGTTAATTGATCGAAAAAAGCAGAGCGATTCATATACTTTTCAATGCAGTATATTTTTTGGTGATATTTAGAGGTGTATGAAAATTGAATGTCGAGTCACAGGACAATTTTCAAATTATTTTCCTCACGTAAATTTGTTTTCTCTTTTTTAATTTTTTAAAGATAATTGAAGGACTCGAAGACCTCCAAGATTCGATTGAAAAGGTGCTGGATTATTTCTGGAAGTGCCGCTATTTCAAGCCCTTGAAGGATGCCTACGACGAGGCGAAGAAATGGGTATTTTCCAACAGCTTTGCAAAGAAGCCATGACATTTTTTGTAATTATTATTTTTTTCTTTTGCAAGTTCCGCGATGAGTTCAAGGTCAATCGCGTCAAACTGAACGAAGTCTGGAGCGATGTCTCATCTTACACCAACACAGTGTTTGAAGAAAGTGGCAGCAAGTTCGTCGTGTGGAAGCCTCAAGATGGCGAAATTGAAATCGATGTAAGTACTTTTCTTGAAATCACAATAGTTTATTTTTCTCTCGTGCACAAATTCAATGCGTAAAACACACGAATCGAATGCTGCGCAAATCTTAATTTTGCACGAAATAATTAGAAGTTGAATGCGTAAAACATTCCCTATATTTATCGCCTATAGAAAATCGATAACTTTTCGGAAAAATTTAAAAATTTAGATATTTTTGATTTTTACGGAATGCTCACAATCGTTGCTGTAAATTTTTTTAGCCATAGTACGTAAATATTCTTGCTTTCTCGTCGATAGATTATTAAACTAATACGACATTAGTCAGCTCCAACAATTAAGAAAGGTCGGATTTTTCCAGGATGTTTATGAAAAAATTGACGAATTTAGTCATGTGACAATCCAGTGAAGTAATGAAATTATGCTGTTAAAAGCATCTTCCGTGATCAACACCTAAATACCGCAGAAAACGTGAAATGATTTTTTCAAGAATTTCCAAATATTCTTCCTTATTTATTTCGATATTAATTTGTTCGCTTTTGGCGAAATGTGATGGAATTTACGAGATATTGACCATCTTTGTTGTGGGAATGCCAAAACTTTGGGAGCTGCGGTGCAGTTCCTAGTTTAAGAAATATATTGCTTCTCGTAAAAAAAAAAATCTTTTATGCATAATCATATGAAAAAAAAATTTAAAGATGCCAAAAGGTGATTTGCATATACAGTATTACACTCAACATTTTTCTTTCTGTGGCTGTTATATTGCATTATACAATTTGAACCTTTTGCAGATCCCAGTCCCAGGATCCGTGTCCACGCTGCAACTGCCTCTGTCTCCGTTGCAAAAGCTGTACGAGAGCCTGGAAGAAGGCGGACACCTGGACTTTGTCGACAGGATTTGGGACTTGATCAAGACCCGGTTGGAGAAAATCGCTTTGCCCGACTTTTCCGACGCCCTGGACGCCACTTCCAACATCGTGCAAGACGTCGCCGAGTTGCTGAGTCCGCAGAACATCGCTCAACTTTTCGGCGACTCCGGGTTGTCCGGGCCGTTGGGATTTTTCGGCCCGAGCAAACACTGGTTCGATCATTATTCGTCCACGGAGCATCCAGGGTCGGAATCGTCCTTCAGACAGGCCATTGAGGATTTCTTCAAGTTTCTGAGTGACGTGGTCAAGTATGTGGATCGGGCGACGAGCACAGCCGGGTTCGCGACCGTTGCCCAGAGTTCTTGGGTCAACGAGGTTCTCGGAGGCAGTGGGTTGCTCAGTCCTCTCAATGCTCTTCCACCCTACAAAAGTGAGTCGATATTATGATCAATCTATGATTATTTTCATTTCGTTGAATAAAGTGGTCCTGATTCAGCTGAGGCCGTTAATTGTTGTCCGAAACCTCGTTTTTAAAGTCAGTTATACTCAGGCATCGGTAAACGTGATGAAATTCCTTTAGAAGGGTTCTCGTTTTAACGGATTTTCCGCTCTGACGAGTTTCTTTCTTGGTTCGAGCTGTTGTTCCACTGGCGCACTATATTATAAAAATCTCGTATTATTTACTCCTCTTTGGGTGCAATTTTAGTACTATAAAAACATTCTTGTCCATGATTCTGTGCATAAGTCATAGGGATTATTAAAAAAATCGAAGAAAAAATCAAACTGTATGGTGCAGCATTCAAACTTCATCAAAAAGCAAAACTTTCTGTAGAGAAAAATTTAGTGTTCAAAAAATGCACAGCATGACATATTTCTTGGAATTCTTTGCTCTATTTCAAAATTATACTTTTCTTTCAAATGAACACTATGTTGGCAAGAATTGTCGGTTATTTGAAAGAAAAAGAGGTATGCATGAATAATTTGGTAAAGGAGGAAGTATACAGAACAGTATTTCTCCTATGTATATTTTTGTTTCATTTTGTTTTTGAAGAAAAACAACAGCAATTTAGTTGAAAAGTCCGAGGCTTTTTCCTGGATATTTACTGGATATTTTAGTTCGAAATTCTTTCATTTTTGCATAACAGGGAAAAATGACGACACTTCTGAACATTACACAATCTAAAAAAGTTGAATTCCCATTAAATCAGAGCACCGCTTTAAAGGTGGCAGTGAGAAAATCGTATCAAAGTAAAAATAATGACAATTAATATGCTACTTTCATGGATCTATAACCTGGCAGAATTCAATAATCAATCAATATATTTGAATGTCAGAATTTCAAAGATCAAAAAAAGAATTTTATTGCAAGAAAACAAAGCAATATATGTGCATTGTAAAATTGAGGCATTAAAATGATGTGTGTACTTTCCCCCGCCCAGGTTAAGACATGAATAATCGGTTTAAAAGGTATAATGGCAAAACGTCTCGTTCCAAATAATTCATTTTACTGTTTTGCATTGGAAGTCTGTGAAAGGAAACAAATAATGACGTCAGAGAATCGCTCCACAATAAAAGTCGGGATTTCAAAAAGTGGATCCTAGAAACAAAACGTCTCGTTCCAAATAATTCATTTTACTGTTTTGCATTGGAAGTCTGTGAAAGGAAACAAATAATGACGTCAGAGAATCGCTCCACAATAAAAGTCGGGATTTCAAAAAGTGGATCCTAGAATTTTTTTTCCCCTGTCATCGGCGGCGTTTTCTCCACTCCGGCATTTTCTCTTGTTAGGACCCCATGAAAATATATGAAGTCTCAAGTACAGTCAATTTCTCCCTTTTCTCCCATCTCAATATTGTTTTTAGCTTCGGCCTACGTTTTCGGACACGGACAATTGGTCACCTTCGACCGGAAAGTGCACAATTTCCTGGGCAAGTGCCGATACCTTCTGGCCAGGGAACACGTGGACGGCAAATACAGCCTGGAAGCGGATTACCGCAATTCTCACGACCCCGCGCACCCGAAACCCAGTCTCATCTTCAACGCTCTCAATCAAGAAGGCACTTACGATTCCATCACCATCGATCCCGATTATTCGGTGAGTTGATAATAAGGAATATATAGGAACACTTTGAGAAGCACTTATTCCGAATACACTGATCGAATTACGTGATGCTGGGTTCGTTTATTTTATCTTGAATTACGCTTCCAAAGTGCTTCCGCGACCGGACACGAATTGAAAGCTTTTCCCCGTTTTATTTACTGGTGACTTTGTAAGTACATATAAAAAAAAGTCGTGGGAATGAATGAACAAACAGAACACTTTATTTGCCGCTTTTCAGTGTTCACAAGGCACAACCAAGACTCCCTCCCCACCCAACCAAAATCCCCTCAAAGACATTCAATCACTTCAAAGCAGGAAACAAAGCTCAAGTTGATGACAAAAATAAAAGAGATCACAATCCACAAAATAAAACTGGACATCTGACATGTATGCATACACCCACCCATTTCCTGACATTAAAAACAAAGTAGCAGTAAAAGTTTATTTAACCCTTGTGCGACAAAGTTGGACTATTTTTGCGAAATTTTGTGGCACCTCAGGGAGGTTTGGAAAGAAATGATAACAGGTGGTCAAGGGCAAAGTCGGGGAAAATCCTGATGCTTTTTTCTCTGAAGGCAGAAAAATTTTGCTGGCAAAAAAAAATTTATCAGTTGGGCTACTGGCTTTTTTTGGATTAGTCCTGACTTTGCCTCAGCCCACCTGGAAGGGTTTTGGTGACCTTCCCAAAAGTGAAAATGCATGAGGATACAAAAATAAGCCAACTCTGTCCCGCTGTGGGAAAGAACCCTCCACTGTCTGAGAGTTAAAGCACAAGGTCTTCAGCTTGCTTCTGTATGAGGTTTAGTTGAATGAACAAATTAGAGAGAATCTTTGATGAGAAATCATATAATGCCAACAGTTTATCTTGATCCTTTAAGATTTCAGAAAGGG